ACGGATAGAGGACGCCTTGGTAGGGCAAGGGTCGGTTAGGTATGGGAGTATCCTCATTGTATGGGTATTTGTTCTTTTGTCGAAGGCCAAACCCATATTCAAGAATTTAAAACAAAAACAGCTTTATTCTATATTAAATTCAAATATATGTAGTTTTAGCGCGAATATACTTTCCTTCTTCGAACAATTTAAGCGTATAGTAACGCTATGTGTTAACTGAACAATAAGGCTTATATAAATCATATTTCATACTAATATTATAAATGTGAATGTTTAGATGCATGGATCTATGGATGTTTGTTAGAGTTTATAGCCTAAAATGATTGAACGGATTTCGATGAAACTTTGCATAGATGTAGATGATAGTTTGGAAGAACACATACGCTATTCACTTTCGTTTTGTTCAATTCTACACGGACGAAGTCGTGGGCAAAACTAGTTTTTTTTAATAATTGGCTGATAAATAACCTAAAATAAAACTAATGACGACTTTAAAGTATATTATACTATTATATTATGCGACCTGAAATACATAATTTGGAAAAAATACACAGTTTTATTGCATAATTTTGTTTTTATTGTGTCAAAGTTGACAGCTGAGTTAGAATCTCCATATAAATTTTCAGAGAAAACATTCTTAAAGTGCTGCACGGATCCATATTCAAGAAATGCATCATAACGTATGTATTTAGTCATATAAAGTATATTCAAGCAAAAAAGAGACAATGAAACATGATATGAAAATATCTATGTAAACCGAGATTTTAGCCCACTGTGCGGCGCCGCATTGACATCGCTGCAGTTTTACCGGGATAAAGATTTTTTAAAGATATAAAAGGAGGAATGGATTAATACCCGTAAATTTTCAAGCTTGATTTAAATTATTTTTTCGTATGGTATATATTATTAAATTACTAGCTTTCGCCCGCGATTCTGTCCGCGTGGAATTAAAAAAACAAAAATAATCTACGTGTTTTTTCCATGTATCCTTTACATCTACCAAATTACATCGAGATCCATTTAGTCGTTTATACGATAAACTATAAGAAATATCCATACATCCAACTGAACTTTTGCATTCAAAATGTTAGTAAAATTAAAAAGAAAAAGGATAGCATGGTATAGGTACAGCATAGGACAAGGAGAATTTAAATTATGAATCCTAGAACCTACGATAACATCCCGAATAAAGGGATAACTCGCAACAAAGGGCCGGCTCGACCTGTAAAATACCACGATATCACAGACATGAAGTGGAAGTAATTCTGGGTTTCATCTGATCTGTGTGTATGGGGCCCAATTTATGTGTGTCAGGGAGAGGCACCTAAGGATAGGGAATATATCCTTTAAATGTTAGTTCCCTCGTCTGTTAATGAGAGACAGGGAATGCATCTGCAATTGCGGATGTATAGGCAGCGGTCACTTCGTTCTTTAGGCGAATTCAGGTAGCCGTTTGTCAACTTATACTAAAAACATAAATGCTCTATAAATAGAAATCTTTACCTAAAACATGATAGCGAGCTTAAATTGATAATGTTTAATATTTATCATAAGTAATATTCAAACATTAATTTAATATTTCTATCTTTATGTATATTATTATGAATAGTTATGCAATCGGTATAATCAATTAGAATAGGTGCAATTCTGTTTTAAGAGAAGCAATCGTTGCCCATATACGTCTTCAATTAGTTGTTGAAGCGCTGCTTTACTTAAATGGAGAGAGAAGCTTATTTCCCCTGTGCATTCTCCGCCGACTGCAGTTCCCCTTCCCCTCCTTCCCCATCAGGATAGAATGGAAAAAGGTTCAGAATTAGGCCTGTGTCATGCACAATCATAAGACCAAATGATTTTGAACCCTTCGCACACAAGGAATTGTAAAGCTTCGAAGCCAGACACTCTTACAAGTACTTTTTGTGTCTTTTATAAAACCAGTTAAACAGATAATAAACATTTAGAATACGTACAATCATTTAAACATTCAGGCCTAATCACACAAGTTTCGAGATGCACAAAAGATATAAGAAGGATTGAAAAATCCGAACGAAAATTTTTTGGCTATTGCAATTCTAACACTTGTTTGCATCAAAAAATTCTACCCGTAAAAGGCTAATTAAAAAGAATACATATATAAGACATAGCTTTACATACGCGACAAGCAAGAACTTGTTCATAAAAAGACAGGGAAAGACTTCAGGCGTTTGAGATGTGCTGGCGAAGGATGGACAAGATTAACTGGCTGGAAAACGTTACAAATCAGAAAGTGCTAGATAGAGTAATAGAAGAAAGAAAAAATGTATCACAAAACAGGAGATGAAAGACGCTTTTTTTTATAATATAAGGCGGCAAACGAGCAAGCGACTTGAATCTACGGAAATGGAAAGCGACCGCTGCCCATAGACATCCGCAATTGCAGATGCGTTGCCTACCCTTAATTGACGGAGGAGGAGACGCACATAAAAAGGTCATTTTCCCTTCCTATGCGTCTCCTCCACCGTCAAATCCACTTTTCCTTACCATCCTTTCCTCTTCTTTCCTTTCCTCTTAAGAAATGAATTAGTGTGCACACCTCCATATAGGCTCATAGGAATCAAAGCGAGACTAAACAGTTGTTCGATAGTGAAGTCAAAATGCGCCTGCTCTTAATGTTATGTAATGTGTGTTACTTGGCAACTAAATTATTTTTTTATATCAGTTAAACAACAGATTAATATCCCCTGCAAATACCTAGATATATCGGATTACATACATACTACTTACGAACATAATTAGATAACAAATATTATCAATCAGAAACTTTCTAGAGTGCACTTTATATTTTTAATGATAATAATATGAAATAATCTAAAGAAGGAAATGAGTTTTACTAACATTTTTCATGTCCTTGACCCTAACTTATATTTTACTTATCTTCGGTGTACCATCAAATTTGATTTTATACATGGAGATATGGGAAAATAAGCATTACAGTACTGACTTATGAGATAGCATTTGCCTTGTTTATATCATCATTGACTCCTCACTTTATCGAAAGAAACCAATTGATCATGTTTTTTTATATTATAAGGCGGCAAATAAGCAAGCGGTCACTTGAATCCTCCGAAATGGTGAAGCGACTGGTGTCCATAGATATCCGCAATTGCAGATGCGTTGCCTACCCTTAATTGATGGAGGGGAAGACGTACATTTAGAGGATATTTCCCCTTCCCATGCGTCCCTTCTGCCATCAAATCCACTTATCCTTCCCATCCATTCCTCTTAAGAAAATGGTGGGAAAGGGAAGGGACTAATATTACAATATGATTGATATATTCCTAGCAAATTTAGTTGACACACTTTTTGGGTCTTATCATAAAAACCTAGTGTTTCAAAAATATTTTAATTGAAACATAAACGTACGTCAACCCTTCTGGTACTATGGCTCTAGCTTTTTTTCGAACGTAGAGCGTTTTTTTTTGTAACTAGCAGAAGGAGACAAACAAGCAGAATGAATCTAGACGAAATTTGGATCGGTTATAGAGGGTAGTCTTGAAGGACATATAGGCTACTTTAGATGGCGGAAAAAGTTATTTTTCCGTAGTGTATGTTAATTCAGTTTGTTTCCTGTTTACTCGATAATTCTGTGATGATTAAATACATCTTGTTGAAATTTGGCACAGATGTGAACAAGGTTTGGAGTTACACCCAGGAATACGATTCATCCTTGAAAAGTGGCAGGTTCCAGAGTGACAAATAGTTTTGTTTTGTTTTGTTTTTTCAAAGACTTAAAACTCGTGTTTAATAATTACATCTTTCGGGACTATACAGAATGATTACATTTAACGTATGTATGTACAATTTATCATTTTACATTGCGGGGGAAAATAAATCTTTTTAAAATTGGACACACATATATCTGCATTGATAATGTCCAAGTTTAAGCTTTCGTACAGTTGATTAAAGGCCATTTTTATCATATTATTCAACGTTATCTCTCATTATAATTTGAATATAAATAGTCGCTGCAGCAGTTGGATATTAATCTTAATATAGGAAGGTAAGAAAATTTTATTCATGTAACATGTGTAAATGACATAATTTTCAAAACGGGAATATAATTTGGACATTAATATTTGTCATCTTCCCTTAAGGTATATCAACATGAAGACCTTTGCTTTTGTCGCCCTGTTGGCCCTGGCTAGCGCCACCGCTTCGCCACAAACTTATGGTAAGTAATTTCAAGGTCTGCTTTCGTCTTTTCAAACAAAAAACATAAGTTCGCAATGGAACAACGGAAACTAAATTACCCCAAGACAAAAATTACTTTCATTTTTTTGTTATAATTGCAAAAATAATATATTATTCTATAGCTCCTAACGTATTATTTAGAAAATACTTAATTTTCTATTTTCCAAAAGGGAGTGATGACTGAGATGACGTATGATAGAGTTCTTTGGAGGACAAAAACCTGCTGTGCCGACCCTACGGGAGTAAGATAAGGAGGAGGATGATGATGTTGACTTATAGAAAAGATTTATGTACTTATTATTTTCCAGATGTGGAATCGAGGAATCAGATAGTGGACGGTTTTCTTGACCTAATGGAACGCGCCAGCCAATGGGTGAAAAATCGTGGATATGACCCTTATACTATCGACTACGTTGAGGGACAATATACGCTACCCATCGCTGGGTAAGTTGTTTCAATAGCCGGCACATCAGTAGCTTTTAAATTGGAACGAATATAGTGTTGGTACAAAAAAAAATATCTCCTTTTTTCTATAAATTTTTTACGTCATTTGAATCGTAAAAGTCAATTGCTAGTAGCTAGTAGTAAGAAGATGTAGAAAATCAACTGATTGTTCACATATTTCTCTAGATTAATGACGGCTCGCGGCTCCGTGTCCGACTTGTCCGTAATTGGTGTTAGCAACATCGTTGTCCATGACATTGGCTTCTCTCTCATCACCCAAAAGCTGATCTTTGACGTGGGCATTCCTGACATCAGCGCTTCCCTTGGTATGTACATTCTTACAAGTTAATAAAACAAATTGTATTTGCATTTATTGAAGGCTTTTATATAATCAAACAATAATATCAATTTAACCTTCAGTTGATGTTAAAAATATCTCTTAACTGCTGAATTTTTAAATATCTCTCCTGTATTAGTTAACGTAGTTATTTTTAAAATAGAGTATGTGATGTGAATATTGATTACCATCATCCTTTTTGTAAGCTTTTTATAATTATATTTTTGTTTCCTACAGGTCTCGCAGAAGGCGAAGTTTCATTCTTAGGTCGTCCTGCTCACAGTGGTCTCGCATCCGGAAGGCAAGTTTCAGACAGATATGTCCTTGATGACTTGAACTATATCAAGTAAAATGTTATAGGCTCTAATTAATTTACGTTTTATAGGCTCTCCATCAAGAACTTGCGTATCACTGGTGAAGTGGCAGTCGACAATTCTGGTGGTAATGTTGCCATCAGTGATCTTGCTGTGAACGTTCGTCTTGGCGGCATTGAGGTAATTCAAACTGCTATCCAATACTAATGGAAAACTTTACAGACAATGTATCCTGAGAAATGAGAAGGAATACTCTCGGAATTTAAATATCTAAAAGAATTATCTTGGATCGGATATAAAAAAATTAAAACATGCAATATGTCTGTACCAAATTAAGCAGGGCTTAAGTAAATTTATTAAAATAGCTGTGGATTTTTCTAATATCTCAGTTTTTTTGTTCCTAGCTTCCTAAAAGTGTCTGTTTTTGTTTGGAATTCAGTATTTCCGAGAATATTTTATAATAACTGAACCCATTTTCCAGTCCGGCATTCATCTCAACATCATCGGTTACGACGTGTCTACTTACGTCAACAACTTCTTAAGCAATACGCTTCCTGCCCTCCTTCGAGACAACTCTGTAAGTTTTTAAAGCATTTATGTTACTTTTTAATAATGATTTGATGATTGTAATCGAAATTTTAAATGGTTTTATTTAGATTGCCCCGTTTGTTTCTTCATAACTATTTAAGAAATCGTTACATAGTAATCTATACTAATATAATAAAGCGTAAACACACACTCATTTGTTGCCTAAGATGTCAGCAATAACAGGATATTTTTGAATAACTCTTTTTATATTAAAAAGTCCTACACGTCACGCTTTAGGCTATTTTAGCGCCATTAAACTTAGGGGGTAAATATTTTGAATAAATACCCTAATATGGGAAAGAGACCATAAGTTGCTGCCAACATTAAGGAAGCAAGGTTGTCATCATGTCATTTTGACAATTGTAATTGATAATTTGACAAATGTAAACAATGAAATAAAATTTTCATAATTTCATGCGGATGAAGTCGCACGGGAACAGCTAGTCATACATAAATTATCTTGCATTCTTATTTCTTGAGTTATGAAATTTAGTAAATTTTGGTCCACTGTTACTATTTATTATAATAATGTGTAAACTAATGATTTTTATTCTTTATTCCAGGAGTACATCGACCGTTTAGCAGTAAGGGGTATTTTATACTTGCTCGATCGTGTTCTGTAAGAGAGGTCGTGAAGTCAATATGCAATAACAAAGTTCGTATAATGTTATAGTTGTTATAGTTTTGTACGAATTTCAACATCTTGAATTGTTACAAACCATAATTGGTATACCTTCTTTATGCATAATACCTGAGTTTGTAATTATTGATTGTTATTGTAATAAATTATTTATTAACTATAAAAGCTGTTTCTTTTTATTTTAATCTTTGAACACTAGTTCACAATTGACTGACCTTATGTACTACGTCATAATAGGCTTTCAAAGGCCAGCAACGCATCAGCAATTCCCCTGGCATTGCAAATGTCCATGGGCACCGGATTAAATAACATTAAGCAATCCGCTAATTGTTAGCTCTGCTTTTTTTTATTTAGAAAAAGACAAATTTCGTCACGCGATTTTGAGCTAAACTATTTAACTACGTCGTAGTCTTTGACTCCAAAAATCAAACAAAAAAGGGACCCACCTGCACTACCTTTCGAATAAAAAAATAATTATCAAAATCGGTCCACTAGTGGCGGAGTTATGCCGTAACACACATAAAAAAAATAATATATCGACAAATTGAGTACCTCCTTCTTTTGGGAAGTCGGTCAAAAATAAGGTGATTAACAAGCTTACATAGGTTTGTCATTTAAACAAATTGATATGGTTACACCTGAATTTGTTCTGCAAATGGTAGAATTTTAAAAAGAAATGATGGTCGAAGTTTATAGTATCAACAGTTTTACTTAATTCTAATAGTAATTTTCAAACCAGAAGTGTCTAAGAATACGCGTCTTTACAGTTAAGGGTTTCTAAAGCAAAAGCAAAATTATAAACGTAGGTGACATTTAAACGTTGGCAAAAGTGAAATTCTTACTACGAACGCCTGGAATGATGTATTAGTGGCCCTTGAGGTAGGGTTTCTGAACATGGTTACAATTTACACAATAAGTTAAAAGACAGATATATCATGAGGTTTATTAGTCGTTTCAAATATGGATAAAACCATCAAATGAAACTGTAATTATACTTTCAAATACAAATACAAAATTGTCAAATACAAAGGTCTAAAAAGTAATAATTTGATCGATTACTGTGCACCGGAGCGTCGGTGGCTCAGTAGTTTAAGCTCTTGACTTGTAATCTACAGGTCTTGGGTTCGAATCCCGCTGTACCAATGTGATTTTCGATTTTTCGAGTTATAATATGTACATAATTTACCCGACGTTCTTATGGCGAAGGAAAGCATCGTGATGCCACCTGCACACATCGGCGAAGAAATTCAAAGATTTGTGTGAAGTCAACCAACCCGCACTGGGCCAGCGTGGTTGACTATGGCCTAGTCACCCTAATTTAGGGTAGGCTCCGAGCCCCTCGGTGGGGACGTATAGGAAGCTGGTGATGACTGTGCACGTAAGATAGTATATTTGAGTTTGAAATAAAAAACCTCTGCCATTACAAATTGTTCACTCGATTAGCTGAAGCCCGATTGACGCTCAACCCCCTTAGACAAAGTAACATTCGATTATCGTCATCGCTGATCGAAAAGTCAAAAATGTAGGAATCTGACAATAACATTTGATAAATCACGTGCTTGTCACGTATTCATTTCTATAGGTTTTGTCACATTTTGTCGATTCTACAAGCGACATCGCTAGTCGAAAGTTACTTTGTCTAAATGACAGTTCTGATAGTTTTAACTGAAGATTCGAACTGTTCAGTTAACCCTTACAGGACCATAATATGGCTGAGACTAAATATGCGAATACAACATAGTATTTTATGCATATTGGGTGTAAAGAGAACATCACTAGAAAAACATATGAGGGTGTATTGGTTTCCTATAACTGAATGTAATTAAAAAATATCGATTCAACAATAATTAAATAATCGATAACGACTTTTGTAGAAGGGAAAAATATTTCCCTTGGGCGCAAAACGGTTAAAGAAGTATGTACTGTCTGATTTGCATTCTTTAATTACAAATTTTTGTTATACGTATGTACAATTGTAGAAACTGGCGGTGTTTAAAAGCTACAATCGGTACAAACAAGCCTACAATTTCCTCAAAGGCCGGCAACGTATCTGTAGTTCCTCTGATGTTGCGGATGTCCATGGGCTTCGTTGACACCTCTGTGTTCCCGCCGCTCGTTTGCCCCCTTCTAATATATATAAA